GCTATCACTGTGGATTAGCCTGACACATGTAATGCACTTTTAAGTATGTCAGGGCCTTTTTAAGCAACAATCCCTCTCTACACACCCTATCATATACACAAATACAGACACAGACAATCCTAACTTTATCCAACATCCAGCCAACTTATAGAAACTGACCACTTTCAATGTTCACATGTGCCTTCAGATAAGAACATGTAAATTTACATGTCAGTTTTAACATGCATGAAGATATTTCAATACACAAGTAGCAGTGATTGCAACTAAAACACTGTCCTTTGTGTTTGTTTTTTTATGAAAGTGTGTCTTGCAAATTTGCATGTATTGTTTTTTTCAGATATTACTATTTCTGGAAGGTTCTTCCAACCCAAAGACTTGGTATCCGTTTTTTTTAAGTATGTAGTAAAACTAATCACATTCCCGAACAAACTTTTGTTTTCATATTTTTATGCCTGTTAAGTTTTTACGCATTGTGATTGTATCCGGAGATTGTTTTTCAAAACTCCAGTTGACCCTGTTTAAGGTTACGATGAGTACACGTGTACATCCTTATGTGATGTGCAGGGTTGTGCTGCCTGTGGAAACTGCTGAGATGGATCAAAAGGGCTTTGAAATGTGTTTCAGCACCCCATGACAGATCAGCATGCAACAATCCTCGGAGTGGCCCTGGGAACCCCCTGTGGATGACCCCAACATCCAGAGTGAATGCAGCCACTTAATCCAGTGTGTCATCTTAAACACCCAGGCCATCCACCTTCCAACATAGAGACAAATCAAAGAGAAAGGGCCCTCTCGCTTCTCTCACTCCCTGAAAAAATACAGCAGTGGAGAGATGACCTTATAAGAAGGCACAGATTAGATCAGACGGTGAGATGAGAGGTCACAAAGAGCGGAGGAGGTACATTTAGAAAAAAGAAATGAAGTTGTAAAAGTACTATTAGAAGAGGAAAGAAGTGGGGCAGATGAAGCAACAAGAGCAAGAAGGGAGGGCAGACCACTGCAGTGCACAGAGAGATAGGTCTCAAAAGGATTAAGTGGTCATAGCTAGGTTGTTGTGCGTGTATCTGAATTTAGTTGAGCTGCAGTGAGTATCACAATGTTAGTCTGGTGTCGCTTTGCTTCGGTGGGAACCTGTGATTCTGGGGAGGAGTCAGTGAATTAACTCCTTTAGTATTACAGTGGCTGTACTGATTCTATTTTAACACCTCTAGATTTGCTATAGAGACACTTTGTTTTAACACTGGATATTAACTACTAATAATATACAACCCAGAGTTAGATGAACAGAATGTGACCCTATTAGAGTGAAATTAACTCTGCTTTTTCATAAAGTCTACCAACACCAAAATATTTAACACTTTTGAATTTGCTGTGCAGCTGCTTCAGTGTTACTCCTTGACTGCATCCCTGTTTAATACTCAACTCGCTCAGCCTACAGGTTAAAACAGTTTATAATAACTATCAGTCATAATCCAGTACAGAAACATCTTTGAAGTCTACCTGCAAAAATTAAATGTTTCTTTTTCATCTTGACTTTTCCGATCTAACTCCCACCCCTTGAACACAGGCATTTATTGTAGTTTAATTGATATCCAGTGGAGACAAATTCTAAATTTTAACATCATATCTAAAACATGTTACAGTTAACCTTTCTTCTAATCTGTTTACTTGGTTTTATTGGACTGAATTGGATTGACTTTGACTTACATATAAAAATGGGCAAATTGTTCTTTCTGGTGCCAAGACCTCAGAAAATTGATATTCAAAGACTGCTTTGAGTCTTGCTTCTGAGGTCTGTTTTAGCTCTGGTGAACAAAGCAATGTTTTTTATCCAGCATGGCCCTGGCCGATTTGTTTTGTATTTTCATTGTTAAAGAGGTTGCACTTTCCTTCAGTAACCGAATGAACAGGCTCTCCGGAAGTTTACTGTTGTAAATAAATCAGGTTTCTTCTTCTCTGGCGGTTCATATGATGTAAAGCCATTTAAGCTCACTTTAGAATGCACAGTGCCTTGCATATTTATTCACTCCCCTGGCATTTTCTGTGTTTTGCTACTTCACAACTTGATGTCAAAACTCAAAATGAGTCTTCGGCTTTATATCTGCAAGTAAAAGCTTTTTTTCTGGCCTCTCTTTTATGAAGCCCATATGGTGTGTGTGGCGTATTGTAGTTGTATGGGCAGATACTCGAGGCACTACTTGAAAACGCTGCAGCTACTTCAGGTTAGCTTTGGTCTCTGTGCCGGCTCTCTGATTGTCCAGACTGAGACTTTTGGTGAGCGGCACTCTCTTGGCAGGTTTCTTGTGGTAATATTTTTTTTTTTTTTCCCCCCCATTAAATGATAATGGATTTCGTTGTGTTCCAGGAAATAATTAAATTTAGATTTTATTTTTTTTTTTTGTAACCCAACCCTGATTTGTACGTCTGTCAACTTCAAATTCAGCTTTGTCCTGGACTTGTTTAGAAATCTTCTTGGTCTTCATTATGTTTAGTTAGTATACATATGCCTATTTGTAGCAAAATAGGAGCAGAAAGGGATTTTGAATTGAAAATGTTGCTTATTTTGATAACATGGTTTTCAATTAAAATATGATTAATTAATTACAGACTCTGCAATTAACTTGATTAAATTTTTTTATTGACTCCCACCACTACTTAAATTACATTAGCGTTTTAACATTTTAGGTCATTTATCCTTACAACAAACAAAACAAATACTCAAACAAAGGGATGCTGATCATCCTTGTTTTGTATCTACAGTTTTGTTGTTTTTTTATTTTTTGCATGTGAAATGATGCCTTCAGCCTAGCGAACATTTGGTAACAACCATGTGACAATTCACTCCAGCCACATATATCTAATCCTGGACCTTTTTGTCTAATTGGCTTGCCTTAAATTTAAAAAATGACCCCACTATTTATTTATGAGGAATTTCATATTGATATATGTTAAATTATTATTCGATTATGCTTTTATCATCCATAATTTATTCTTCTTTAATTCAAATTAAAGAATAATAATAATTTAACATATTTCAATATGTTAAATTATTACATATCTGATGTCCAATCTGGTGAATTCTGACATCACTTAGAACCGATTTAGGGATTAATAAATCCCTAACAGGGTCTCAATCCTAATACTAATTTGGCATGAAACACACCAGATTTTCTTAATTTTTGTGAATATTTCCTGATAAATGTTATATCAAAAATCAACACCTGACAACACTTTTACTTGTTTTTAATCTGTGTTGTGATCATAACAACACAGCTTTAATAACTCATTCACACATCAATGTCCGTGCATTTTGTAGTGTTTTGTTCCGTGAGACATCGAATTGTAAGAATGCAAGCTAATGCTGTTACCAGCTTTTTATTCACAGCGACCCTGAAATCAATTAATTTAATGTGTCTGAAGAGTCTGCTGTCTGTAGATATCTTTAAACAAGTTACCATGGTAACTTCACAAATGCATGTAATTTGCACAAACACTAAGAGATACTCTATTTATAAAAACATATGCTATATGCTTTTGACCCACCTACACAAGCATTCACCCTCGTTTGCACACACTTGAACACACGCTTGAGCACAATGCATCTTCCTCGGACACTGAAATAACTTTCTGCACAAATGCTTTGGCAATCACACACTGCTGTGACCCCAGAGAGCGGGCCAGCTGTGCGTGTGCTGGAGCAGTAACCCCGGCGTTAATTATAAATCAATGGGCCAACTGTAAGCGCACACAGAGTTCACACATGACTTCTCCCATGCATGTCAACATCCATGGGGTATATAAGCTGTTTAAAGTGCTGGGGTGGCTGCAATATTCATGGCTGATTATAACAGAAGGCTGACACTCACACAGGGAAGCACCCGGCACTGATACAGAACAATGACACAGACAGATTGAGAGGGGAGCGATGGGTTAGGGCCGGGGCATCATGAACTGATAACCACTGCAAACAGACTGCCTGAAAGATCCATTTCAGGCCAAAGCAAGTTCAAACAATTGGCAATTATCTACATTAATGAGCTGCTCAAATAGAAAAATCTGTTTGCAAGCTATTAAATATTTAGTGTTGTACGAGAGAATAAATGATTAAGGGTTGCATTTTGCCATTTAATTTTACTGACTTCCTTTTCCTTTACTTCATCTCATTTAAGTTATTTTAATATTTTAAGTGGTTCTTGGTTTGACTTTTGCTTTTATTTTTGAGACTTAAGGTCATTCTTGGTTCTGTTTTTTGAGTCTTAAAACAAAGATATGTATTTGGCTGCACATTGGTTATATTCTTGAAAGTTGACCGTAGGATATTTCTTCAAAGAACTAGTATAACATCCCCACATCAATCCAGAAGGAGGTACTGAGTGATCAAAGTTTTCTGCTTGCTCAGTCACTATAAAAATTTGTAGGTTCCTTTAATTTTAAAGTTGCTAATGTATGCATTATCTTAACAGGTTATGAAGTTTTCTACGTCTGAAATGTGCAAACTTTGACCACAGATTTCACTCCACTATGTCAAACTATGGCAGTGTGAGATAAAAAAGACATTTAATCGCGATACTGATCCTGAATTCTTCAATGGCAATATCGATCAAAATCGACCAAAAAAATATTATTTTCTTCCTTAAAGTGGTCCAACGTACTTTGTGTTATTTAGGACGTCTCCCAAAAAGTATTGCAAGGATCAAAGACAGACAAAGTCTATCCATCAGGAAAGTTTTACTATTCAATTTGTAGAATTCCACTATCAAAAGAAGATCCAAAATCTTATTTTGTTTTGGAAATTTTTGAAAGACATCCTCTATAGAGACATCTGTTTTTCTTAAGGTCTGTCGTCGTTTTTAATCAGAAAACAGTAACATTACACTTTTTGTGCAACCTAACAGTACTGCAGCATTAAATTAAAATAATGTGTGCTTTGCTTTCCTGTCTACAGTCTGCCATCGAAATCTCCAATTCTGGAAGAATTAATTAAAAAGTAATTAATTAGAAAGTCCACAGCCTATTGATTTATGTCTCTCTTACAGTAAAACTTTAACAGTTAGTTTAAACATTAAAAGAGAAATATAAAAATTTAACATAAGTAACGTTTTGACATTTTTAGCAGTGTGATGTCCTCATGCGAACTTCCCACAGGTGCATATATTTAACAACCAAATCAATAATGCATACAGAAATACTGTAGTAGTGCTGCTGCCATTGCAACGTCAGCATAAGCAGCTTATACTTAGAGTAGCAGCAGAGGGGAGAAATAGATGGATGGAGACAATGATGGAGATGAAATGAGGAAGATCAATTAAGTGGTTCCAACGATTATATGTAACTATGAGTGCAATTATGGATCTATATAACCAACTGCAGTCTGTCAAAAATAATGACGGCTCAGCATTTGGATGTGATTACCAACACAGTGCATCATGCAGAGGACGCAACGAAGGAATGAAACTGGAAAATAGATTGAGACTGCAGGTTGGTTTTGGTGGTTCATTTTGTTTGATCCTCTAATTGAATAAAGACACAGTAAAATAATATTGCAGAAAATTGTTGATGCTGTTTCAGACATTAAGGTAACCTCTAAAGAGTCTGTCACCTTTCTTGTTGGATCTAAGAGGTAAAAGTGAAGGCTGTAAAAGTCTAAAAAAAAGTTTGCTACATGCTACTAAAAGTCTCTGTTTGGAACAACTAGCAATATTTTAAACGTGATCTTTTACCAAACATCAAGGCATGATTTTTAAAATAATAGTATTAAAGCTTTTATTTAATCTACACTCGAATAACATTTGTTCATTAATAGTACTAACCGTTTTGTATTTGCACACATGCCTCCTAGAATTTAAGCATAGTCATTTTTGCCTGACATGAAAAATAAGATGCATCAACTTATTGTTTCCAAAAAGAATAAATTACAAATTTGTATGCATTTAATATGTGTTCCCAAAATATGAATGGCAGTAAAGACTAACCTGATGTTAAGTGCTTTATAGTGACTTTTATTCTTGCAGGTTGTCACTGTAAACCCCCAAAAGTAAGAAGATCATGAGAGTGAGCAGAAGTAGGGTCACTGAGTTGCTCCATATTTACACCAACTGAAATCCATAGGTGTTGAGAAACACGCAACTGGGCACAACAAACCACTGGCCAAACAGCAAGTCTCCTCCACTGCTCCTCCATATGACCACTGTTTCCGTATGCCTGCACACGCTTCCTCGCTGCATATTTACAGGCACATGCTGTCGGAAGTAAAGACAACCGCAGTGTCAACAGGCAGAAAGAAAGCAGCAAGACTCAGAAAGAGGGAAGAAGGAGAGATAAGACAGAGGAAACAGATCCAGTATAAATCACTATGCTTGACAGATTTGGGTAAGAAAACAGACGGCCCCAGTAGAATTGTTAAAGTATGCAATTTTTACATGATTTAGCCCTATGAATGACACTGAAGCATACAAGTCTTGGTTAACACACATACAAACTCGCACAGAGAAAATACATCTAAGTTCCTTGCAAAAAGAGATGAAAATAAAGGATGTTATGTCCAAGTATTGACAACTTCAATGAAAAGCAAGAAAAATTTAAATGAAAAAGAATTATTTGTAAAAACTGACAAATTAAAATGTTCACCAAGTTTTATGAATCTCCAGCAAATTTTTATGTTTAGACAAATTGTGTCCTGCATTAATTTTTTCTGCAACAACAAAAAAAAAAAATTATCATCATGAGCAACACTGAAAAGCTTTCAGCCTGAAGCCTTTATAGCAGACGTGCCTACAGAATACAAAATTTTATATGAAAATCTATTTTCATACACATTTTTGTCTTATTTTGTATGAATTTTATATAAGGGATAAAGTTAAAAAGTAACATAATAGGTGTTTAAATGATGTGGAAGATATTCATTAGCTCCTAGTATATAAAGGTGAAATACATAGTTGGGAATCTCTAATTTATTGTTTCCACTGAACAGTAAAGCACAGCTCTCTGTGGTCCGGTACGATATTATATGTTCCAGTATATTCAGAAAAGCTTTTCTACCAGTAGTTGGTCAGTTTATTGCAAATGTTCAATGTTACATCATATTAGTGCAACAAAAATGTGACGTACCATTTACCTTGAAAATCAGAAACTCAGAGCTGCAAATGCTGTCACACCTGAGTTACGGATGAGACGGAGTTAATCAGGTAACATAGTCAGAGAAGTCTGGCTTCCACTGTGGTCGACAAAGAAGCTACTGTTTATTTTACCTGTCACCAACATTGATTTAATCACTTCCTTTTACGTGCAAACACTGTCGCTCAATCAATGGACTGTGTTGTGTGATGTCAGCAGCTAACTGCACCGTTGTCCTGTGGACCTGCAAGGGGGGCTATTAAATTGTATAAATCATTCAATGGAAACAAGGTGCATCATGAGTTTCAAGTGCCTTTAAAGACCTAGCATCAAAATGAAAAGAAACTACACTAAAATTAGAAAGCAAGAAAAGGGAGAGAAGGTGCAAATATATGGTAAAATGATGATGAGAACCAAAAGCATGGAGGAGAGAATAACAGGTAAGAAAAGAAGGGACAAAGTGATTGAGAAAGAAGAAAGAACAGCAGCAGAGAGAAAAAAAAGAATCTGCCAGCTTTTGCACTTTGTGAAGCTTCTTAGAGGCCTGAGTATCTCATGTATATTAATGACGCTGTGATATGACAATAGTGACACAAAGCCTGTTTACAGTAACTGTGCTGGCTGCAGCCAGGTTCAAGATGTTTAGCATGAGCCTCTGCAGGGATTTATCTCACTGCACTCGTGTTGAAGGCTGCTCAGCCTAATGCAGCAGCACAGTTTTTTTTTTTTTCCTGTGGTGCATTTACATTTTTTACATCACCCTCCCAGACATTTACAAGCAACATATGTTGAGCAACTTACTATGATAACAACTTTAGTGTAGGATTTTCTTTGACACACACACACACAAACATATATATATATATATATATATATATATATATATATATAATATATATATATATATATATATATATATACTTCTGTAAATTATGTTCAATTCTAAAGGCAACAGACTGCTGACATATGTTACCTCACAGAGAGTTTGCACTGTGAACGGCCTAAACAGCTAAAGGTATGTTTATATTTTGCGACCTGGAATATTTTACCCGAGTTTAATTTTCAGAAACCTATCATTAAACTCTGGCAGTGAGTCGCTTGTGTTCAAAGCTGTCACATCCAAAGTTATGCTATTTATGTAAAGTACACATAAAGTTAAGTAGAGAGGACCACTGATCCAATTGAAGGAATACTCAGCTGTAGCTTCAGTGATATGAGGAGACACAAGACCAGAAGAAGCTGCTCTCATGTGTGTGATCCCAATCCACATGCGTGTGTAGTAAGAGGGCAAAGAAGAAGTAAATATAAACCTCCATATTTTATAATCTTTATACCAATGATGCTGGTATAACAATTACACTTTATAACGTCAGGAGAAGGAATGACAACAGCAAAAGGGCGGCTGTTAGGGAAACAAGCTGGTGTTCCACAGCCCCACTGTTGGAATAACTCGAGAGCTGTTACACTTTGGACCAGAATCAAACTCTGGCACATAAGCACATAAACAAAATGCTTTAATGGACAATAAACATAATCAGCTTGCTTGAAACTCTTGCGTTGGTGACAGCTGAGTAGAAAAAATAACTAAAACAACACAGAAATTAGTAAATGCAGGACACTGAATGTGTGATTCAAGGAAGAAGAGGAACATATTTTATAGTCTCAAGCAAAGTAGATCATCTGATCGTATTATGGGCAACTCATATTAACCATTTCTACTAGTATTGTTTTATTCCTGCTAGTGGTTTCAAGAAGATTGTAAATACCTTTCAGAATCTTATCTAGGGATAATTTAGGAAATGAAACAACAATCAACTGACGGAAGGACAACCACGTGGCACGTTGTGATCCATGTTGGGGTTGAACATTTAATCCCTTCAGAGCAATGAGGGAATGGCAGAGCAGTTGGCTGTGGGAAAAAATACTTTTTACAATAAAAACAGAAAGGTTAAACTACTTTTTCAAATACTGTAAAAAAAAAAGCAACAATCCTAATTAGTATAGCATAGCATGCAATCAAAAGTTAGAATTACTTCTGATGCGTGTGATATTTTAATAAGTAAAACTAAAGTAGCATACTGCTCATCCGCAAACCCACAAGTCTAATTTGATCTACACACTCTTGCAGTGCACAGTTTGCCTCCAGCACCTTCTCCACCTGCTTGGTGAGAATAAGACGGATCTCTCACTCTCACGTTCTCACCCTCCCTCATCCACGGTTATGCCCACGTAGAAGGGGTGGGGGAGGTGCGGTTAGGTCTGGATGAGAAGAGATTCAAGTCTTTATTGAAAGATCATATGGGATGACTGAGGAATCCCATTACTTGTTGATTAAGTATTGATCCTGAGCTGTCCAAGTATTAACAAGTAAGCTAATATGGGCTGACCCATGGGACCAGTGGCTTGGGGGGGTTGTTTGAGCGTGTGTGATTGTGCACGAGCAACTGTCTGTGAGTTGGTGACTGAGTCAGAAAACAAAGTTGAAAAAGCAAAATGAAAAAAGTGTGCGTCTGAAAGTGTGACAGGTTGAGAGATAGAGGAGAAAAATATAATCAAAATAAAGGCTGGCGGAGAGAGGTGGCAATTAAAGTTTGAGATGACACTGAGACAAAGTGCAGCGAGAGCTGAATGCACACAGAAAAGGTGGAGCCAAGTAAGTGTTCATGGGTCAAACGAAGAATGAAGAAAAGAAGAGAACAAGATCAGATGGGTGGGGAGGGGTGAGAGGAGATAGGAGATGGGTGAACTAGATGCTCTAGGCTTTGGTTGAAATGTCATGGGCTCACTGAATAATGAAGATCAATTCCATCACTCTGCTTTTACTATTAAAAACATTTCTCTATGGAACTGATGTCCGTTGTATAACACCCATTTGCATCCAGACACTGAATTCCCAAAACATTGTCAGCAATACAAATTAGATAGATAGATAGATAGATAGATAGATAGATAGATAGATAGATAGATAGATAGATAGATAGATAGATAGATAGATAGATAGATAGATAGATAGATAGATAGATAGATAGATAGATAGATAGATAGATAAAAAATTTAAACTGAAATAGTGAAACTATCTGATTTAGAAATGAATCACAAATCATAATGACAACATTTCGAGGGTCTGATCATCTCATAATGTAGACTCTACTTACCATAGAGTTAAATTTGAGTTGAACATGTTTATTGTTACTCACAGTTTACATATTTTTGTGTTGCCTCTTACATAAAAGTTGCAAGATTTGCTTGCCATCACTGGGGATCATCACGAATGTTGAGCTCATCTGTAACTAAAGTCAGAGTTGAAAAAGATATTCCTGCATCTGTATGACACAGTGAAATTGTACCTAGAAATGTACTACTGTTTTTCAGAGTCAGCACAGTAGATCTTTCTGTTTTTCTCTCTTTATGCTTGATGTTCTAAAGTGTTGGTTTGAACAAGTGTAACAAGTTTTGAGCTTTCGTTCCATGTACTAGAACATGGCATAAAACAGTGGACTGGACTAATGTACTTTAAAGTGATGGTAACGATGATCTGTTGTTACATGGACCGGGTCATTGAAGTTTTTGCACCAAATTTATCCAAAGTTAAACAAGACACAGAACTTGGTTTCTTCCTGTTGTGAAAGTAGAGTCTTACCTAACAGAAGCTCGAGAGAGGCATGTGTAAATAGACAATGTATGAAGTGTGTCATAATTAAAACCTGGTTTTGACATAAAAATTAAAAATCAAGATAAAATTATTTAACTTTAAATAACATATACTTGTGCTTAAAATAGACTGTTTAAGGTTTACAGCATTATTATAAGTGTGGATCTGGCACAGTTACTTGACTGACTGTGCCAAAAAATAGCCCTATTTGCCCCAAAAATACTTGATACACCCCATATGCAAAAGAAAAACGTTTCATAGAACAGAATCAATGAAAACTGTTAAATTAAAATTCATTTTCAAAAGGCAGGAGGTACTTTTACTGGATTAAGTTCCAACTACATATGTGGGATTTGGAGCGCTGAGTAAAAATATAATGGGATTAAAACCTTTTTTCTGTGTAAAACATATCCCTGTTTCAAAAAGACATACACTGGTCATATCACCTTCATACATTTCTCCTTACTTCTCTGAAGGTCCAAGCAAACTAATTAAAAATGTATTTGTTCATCAAATATACAAAGTAATCTGCTTTAATCTGCCTAGTCAGTGTATCCAAAGCAAACTCCAATAAACTCCATGATTGCATTACATTCAAAGCTTTGATATCACCTGCTCTTCTTTCTTTTCTGTCTTCTGTCCTACAGCCACAGTAAATAATTCATTTTTCATTAAAAACTCATTACCACTAAAACCCCTGCATTTATATCATCACAGACTACAACCAAAAAAAGAGTTAGAATTTATGTGTGTGGAAATGTAGAGAGAGAGGCAGAGAGAGAGAGAGTGAAATAATGGAGTTGAAATATGAGGCAAAGCCATAAATAGATTGTATGCTTTAATGTGATTGTCATCCTGTGGTTGCTCTTTGTCTGCAGAGAATGCAGAGTGATGAGTCCAATGAGAAAGAATCAATGAACGACACAGAGAGGAGAGAGGGAGGATGGTGGAAAAAAAAGAGTGAAGGCAGAAGAAGTGGTGAACAGGTTTTCTGTTTGTGTGTGTGTGTGTATGTGGACAAATTTCTGCCGCATATTGAGAAAGTGAGAGCTTATGTATCACACTGTTTTCGTATGCAGATCAGTTGGTGTCACAATCATCACTGTATGTTTATTTATGTGAATATACAGTGCTGTCACATAGCACTTCCATCTCTGGCACTCATGTTGAAGGGTTGCAGCTGGTCAGCATTTACCGTGGTTGCTTGGAGGAAAAAAAAGCCAACACCCAAGGTTGTTCAACTTTAATAAAACCTTAAACTTTTGTGCTTCTGATTTTTATCCGTTTTCCAATAAGCTCTGTCCAATTTCCCTATTCCTGCCAAAGAAAAGCAAACCACATCACCGCACTTCCACCACTGTGCTTACAAATGGGGATGATGTATTCAGGGTGATGCAGTGTTCGTTTTACTACACACATATGTTTGCATGAAGGCCAAAAAGTTTAGCTTTGGCCTCATCTGATTAGAGCACCTTCACCATGTCATGTGTTGCCTCACGGTAACTCTGGCAAACTTAAACCTTTACTTTTAGATTTTCTTTAAACATAATCTTTCCTCTTGCCTCTCTTCTATTAAGACTAGGTTTGTGGACCGCACAACTAAAATTTGTCTAGTCAACAAATCTCCCACCTGAGCTGTGGATCTTGGCTGCCTGGCTGATTAATTATCTTCTTGTCTTGTTGTAAGTTTTGATGTTTTGCGGTTGTGCCAATCTCTTTTTATTCTTTTATATGATGGATTGAGCAGTGCCCCAATCCATTTTGGATATTCTTCTATAACCTAACTTAAAGTAGAACCAAAATAGGTTAAAAGTTCTTTTCTTGTTTAAAAGTAGAATTTGAAATGCAGCACTATTAATACGGTTTCCAACAGTCAGCCTACTTTATGAAGCATGTTCTCATCAACACAAAAAGTTCTCCAAAAAATGAAATGTACTAGAAGATCTTTACCTGGATGTCTTTGCCTGATTATATGGGAGACCGGGCCGGTGGTTGGCATTCGCCTCGTCTCTGGTCCAGTCGATAAGCCAGCGTGATTATTCAGGTGGGCCTCAGGTTTACCTCTGTCCTTCTCATTGACTTGATGAAGGTTTTAGTCCTGCTAAGAAGCTGACACACTTCATTACGGAGAACATTCCCGTATTGATTAAATCATTCCACGGTCTGGCCTTTCCTTCTCAGGAAGTAACACATCAATAATATCAATACCAAGCTCAAATACAAACACAAAGATTTTGCACCTAAACGCACCTTCATGGACAAATGAAATAAAATTAATTCAAATTAAAATGTAACACAAATATTAATTTTGATGCCTGTAAACTTTGGTTAATAGTAACATGGATCACATTTCTTAAAGTTGAAGCACAGCTTGATCATCCAAAAAAAAAAAAAAAAAATAGCCAAATACTTTAGTCTCAGTTTCATCGTTTATAAACACCTGCCTGATAAGGCTTGGATTTTATAATGAATGATTAAGGCATAAGTCCAGCACTGGCATTATCTTAACAGCAAGATAACACAAATCAATGGAAGAAATACAGACAACTTATCTCTATTATACAGTTAGCAACATAATTCAACATTACATTTAGTTACTTTATCTAACAAATTCACTAAGGCAGTAATAAAAAGATAAACAGATGACTAAATTAAAACTAAAAAGAGATTAACAGTAAAAACACAACAAAACATAAACAATAAAATGAACCAGCAATGTCACAGTTCAGCATGAATTTTTCTGGTCCCCACAATAAAGTAAAGTGTTTGGAAAACGGTACTTACAATGTAGCAAATACAAGGGCACACACACATAGATTTGTATCTAAAGTCAATTAGGAGTACAGTAGCCACCTATATTTAAATACCAGGCCTTAATTCTACAATAGTAGAATTAGTCATCATGCAGTCGGTAGCATTTCCATTTTTAAAAGAATATATGGCCATTTAATAATTTATATGTTCATGCCAAAGCTGATTAATTTCTCACAGACTTAATGCTCAACAATGCAAAGGAACTTATCTTTGCTGCTCAGATTTCAAATAATAATTGCTCAATAGTAAAACAATAATAAAACATAATCCAGCATACATGTTCAGCTCCTATGCTGTTATTAACGTCAATGAAAACTGTCTAAGGATGACACTGATTCTGTTTCTGATAGGTTCATATTTTATTCAAAGCAGATAAGTACTTGTTAGACTGTTGAGCAAAAGTAATGTAAAATTCATCAAAGCTTTCCATTTTTTCATTCAGTTTACTTGAAAGCATATTACAGATAGATGTTTTACATTACACATCTGAATGTCTCAAAGACATTCATGTTGCATATTTCCAAATAAATTGATAACCTACATAATCAGGACTGAATGATACAGATGTCAACTGTGTTCAACCTTTAGTTGTGTTTTAATTCATGTGTGCAAATAACGTAAATTGTCATTTTAAAGTCCTGAACAGGCATTTAATTGGACTGTATTTGATAAATGTATCAGACTACAAACATAAAACTTAAAAAGGAAGAAAAACTTTAGTAACTAAGTGAAAGATGGGAAATATGGAGACTTTACATCCATTTTCTCTCTAACTGTAAAGCAGCATTGACTGTCTCTGTCTGTGACCTCATTTAGGTCACAGAGAGAACAAGTTAATAAAGGAAAAATGGACATACCCAACAACACTAGCAATACCTTGAAGGCCAGACAAGAAGCTGCAAGTATCTCAATAAAACAGGCTCATTACATTACAAACCTTAACCCCTCACCCTACTTGCAACAGTAAGTTACAATATTATAATGGTGGCACTGTTACTCCTTGTACTTCACTGCACAGTTCTACGTTTTCCAAGACTTTTGGCCAGTAGCTTCATGGAAGTTCCCCAAAATACACACACTGACATGATTGTGTGGGCGCCACCTCGGTGATTGCCTATTTAGTGAGTAATTATCCTTGTCTTTCCCACTCTCAGCCAACATAAGCACTGATTGAGTTCCTCTCATTGTGGGTAAAGTCTTATTTATCATAAGAGCCCAGTGTGAGATTTGTAGAGAGAGAAAAAAAAAAACAAGAAAGCAAACAAACAGAAAACCAAAAAAAAGAGAAGGCATGGAGTGCAGTCATCTGCAGCTTTGGAAGATAAGAGCTACAAAAACAGAAGGTCAATATGAGTTTGGAATGGTTTGGCATGAGGGAATGGAGTTTCAGTCTTTGATTTTGTCAGGCTAATGATAATGTAACAAAAAAAAAAGAGAAGTGAAAAGTTTTTATCAAATTAGAGAGGTCCTGTTGTTTAACCTTCTTTAACTTGTTCACTATTGCAGGGGGCTGGAGGGCATCCCAGCAGTCACTGAACTGGTACCTGGTGCACAAATGTGCATGTACATGTATCCACATATATTCACATTTGTATGTATGAATCATAGAAATAAAAACAAAATATGAACATTTGCATGTTGGCACTCTACGAACATGGTTAGAGAGAAAACAGACGTCATAGTTTGAAAAGATTTGTTCCTATATCTGATCAAAAATAATAAACATTGTGAATCTCACCCCATAATGAGAAACTGTCGAACATTCCTGCAGACTTCAACGTCTCTCATGTTGTGTTCTAGCTCCTCCTCTACGAGTCCAAACCATTCTTCATCATCCTCATCTTCAGCTCATTCAGCTGGAAACTTGGAATGTTTTCCAAAGTAATGCAGTTGTTATCGTCTCATTATTCTGCTTCCGCTTGTTCTGATTCACAATCTGAAGTGAGATTTGCGTAAGCTTTGGTTGAGAAGCACTGCCAAAACAAAATCACTGTTTTCTCAGAGATTTATTTTTTTCCGTTTGTACTCTGGTGATTTGTTCCTGGTTTTTCCCTGGGTAATCACATATAGATTGATGAATATATGTAACATGCATGATTTTGGTCTGTTAACCTGGAGTACCCATAGAAAACCCAAGCACAGGAAACATGCTAACAAAACGCAAGAAGTCACAAGCAAGGATTTGAAGAAAGTGTGTTATCGCTGTTTGGCAGTCAGCTTCTAACCTCATCTTAGCTTAAATTAAAACTGTTCCAGCAAAAATCTGACTTCATTTACTCAGCATTGAGGCTTCAGTGAGGATTTTTCTATTTCTGACACAGTTAAGGTTGTCTGATAGTGCTTGAGCTCTAAAGCTAATCTGTTTCTTTGTGTTTATTGGTAAATCAAAGGTCTAATCAGCTGCAAAGCTGCTCAGGAGAAAAGAAGAGGATGAGAAGAGGAGCGGAGAGGAGGTATCAGCTATTTTTCAATCTAATGGCCAATTAAGATCAGGCTAAACGAGGAGGCAAAGGAGCATTGTCTTCTGCAGATCTCATTGAGGGTCTAATAAAATGTCAAAATGCAAGTGGTTTTCTTGCACGTGCATCGGCAAACGCAGTTACTGTGTTCCTTGATCACTTTGTCCAGGCCTTTCATTCAATTTGTTTCAGCTTTCCATTCCTGCTCTCTAATTTCTTGTTTTTTCTCTTCACCCTGTCATTTATTTCGCCAGAATACACAAACATTTACAGTCTCCACTCCCTCTTTTATGGCTTCTTCATCCTTTGCAGCCGTTCCTGCACTCCCACACACTGGCTTTGCTCTAATCTCTTTTTTTATTTAGAAGGGCAAAGACAGAGATTTGAGCTTCATACTGTATCAATTTTGCCCAGTGTAAATGACCTAAATAAGGAATTCAATACTGTGGGGTCTGAATAGGAGCGCTTAGTCCACATATTTATTGAATCCAGCCTTTTTGTCCAGTGCCAGTACGCTCTGTGGTTTTAGACTCCGTTCCAGTGATCCAACGTGGAATGGAAATCCGATCCGTCTCCCTCTTTTTCTCACTTTCTTGTTTCTGTTTTTCTTTCATCAACCATATGCCTGGTGAGATGGAGATGAAGGGATGATTGTGGAGAAGGGGAGATAAAATAATACCTATATATATAAGAAGTCAGTGAGGTTGTCTGCACTAGTGAAGCTATAAACTATGACCGATCAGATCAATCTTTGCAAACAGAGATTATCTGACATCAGTTCATCACACATTTTATTAAATAAGTTTGCTCAGTTGTCTGCATTGGCACTAACCATATTTTACCTCCAACGTGCTTGATGGGATGACATCAAATGAGAAAAATTGCAATTCTGCAAAAGGACATACTCATAATATAAAATACATGTTCCATGTAGTTTTAGAAATAATCTGTGATGTGTTGGGCAACAAAAGTGGTGAGGCTAACCATCAATGCTACAACCATAGTCAAGAATTG